CAATGGGCTTAAACTGCAGCAAGGGAGGACTAGGTTGGACATTAGGAAAAAGTTCCTAACTGTCAGGGTGGTTAAACACCGGAACAAATTGCCTAGGGAGGTTGTGGAATCTCCATCTCTGGAGATATTTAAGAGTAGGTTAGATAAATGTCTCTCAGGGATGGTCTAGACAGTATTTGGTCCTGCCATGAGGGCAGGGGACTGGACTCGATGACCTCTCGAGGTCCCTTCCAGTCCTAGAATCTATGAATCGATCAAAGCCTTCTTCCCAGATCAAAGCGACGGCGGGCGCGTGGGGCCTCGATCCTTGGGCCCATGGCAAAGCCGCTGGAGAGAAGCTCCACGGAGCCCCTTGACGTGCCTGGGTCTCACGGGCGAAAGCAGATGATGGGTTCAGGGGAACAGATGAAAAAGGCGAGTGTTGTATTGTATCGTCTCCTGCTCCCTTTGCTCTGCCGGTGAGGAAGCAGGTGGAGTCAGACCCCTCGCCCGTCTATCGCTAGGACGGACAGACGCCTGCAGGGAAGACCCGTGCCCCGTGCCCGTCCCGGGCTGCACTCGCATGGGCGGCCCGGAGGCCATGTTCGGGGCAGCCTTTAGACACTGGCCCGGGAAACCCCGTAGAAAAGGCGGGAAGCCCTTTCTGGGAAACCCTGTGGGGCAAAGCGGCTCTGACTGGACGTTGTTTACCAGGCCCGGGGCAATGAAAAGAGCGGGAAACTGACCCAGCGCTCGGCCCCACGCTCCGCCCGGGACCCCGCAGCGGCCACAGCCCCCCAGAGAACCCAGGCGTCCGGCCGGGCCCCCGCCCTCAGCTCTCCCCACGGCCAGGGCCGGCAGCCCCCCCGGGCAGGGCAGGGCAGGGCAGGGCCATGGGGCGTCGGCCAGGGGACGGGGACCCCCCCGCAAGGGGCGGCTCCTGGACAGGGCTGCTGCTGGCAGGTGGGGGCTGGGCACGGGGGGGCAGCTTTGGGGAGCGGGGGGGGGTCCCCCCTCAGCGGGGCTAGTCCCAGGATTGGGCACCTGCGGCCCCCCCGGAGCCGGCCCCCGCCCCGTCTGCCGGACAGCTGGGGCCAGAGTGGGGGGCGAGTGTGAATTGTTGTGTGGTGGGACCCCGGCCCCAGGGACAGCGACCACCTGCCTGTACCTGCCTCCTGCCTGTATCCATCCCCACACATCCATCTATCTATCTATCTATCTATCTATCTATCTATCTATCTATCTATCTATCTATCCCCAAACACCCTTCTATCTATCTATCTA